CCACCACCCCTCCCTCTCCCCTCTCCCCTTCCTCCTGCCCTCCCTCCCTCCCTCCCTCCCTCTGTCCTCTCTCAGGGCCGGACCTCCACTGCCCTCGGATCAAGAGCCACTAAGGGCTTGCACAGCTCTGCCCTCCCTTGGGCATCCGGGGGCATTACACCCCAGCAAGGGGGAGTGCTTTCTCCTTAGTCTGTATGTGGCTCGAAGGTCGGGGGGAGGGGGAGGAATCTCCTAACATTTTTGCAAGGATCAGCTCATTCTGGGCTTTGTTTGAAATGAAGCATTAGTCATATTTGAGATTTAAATGGAGGGAATGTCTCTCAGATTTTTAATTGGATTCTAAAGCCCTCATTGGAATATGAAGTCCATTTTGATCTGTTAGAACGGACAGCTGCCCCATGGCTTCCATTCACCACAGACAGTTTCCGCATTATTTGCAATTAGCAAAATTGACGGAGGGGATCCCAGGTCTCCCTCCTGCCTTTGTTTTTTGTTTCCAAATGCATTCGTGTGTCTCATGTCGTTAATTTCTGAGCATCCAGGAAAGAAGCAAGAAATAGCATTTATCTCCGCTCCGGGCCCCATGTTCTCCCGACCTCCCAACCGTGAAGCCTGAGGGAGTGTCTCTCATTTACAGACAAGGAAACTGAGGCTCCGGGAGGGCCGAGCAGCTGGTGAGGGAGGAGCGGGGAGGCCCAGGGCCTGGCCAGGGCCTGAGTCTGCCTCCCCACCGCACTGACCCACCTCCGGGGAACAGCTACAGAGAGGAGACACCCAGCCACCTGGCAGGAGTGACAGGGGACAGAGTCGGAAAGGCAGCCGGGCCGGTGAGGTGACAAGGACAAGGAATGTCAGGACACTGAGGTTCTGGCAAAGAGGGATGGGTCCCGGGCAGGACTCTCCCAAAGCGTAAATCATTTACATGATTTACATTGTTCGGTTTTGTGACCTATCTATCCCAGCTGCAAACCAGTGGGTAGGGCGGGTGCTGCCGTGGGCCGGCCGCCCATCCCGGGGGATCCCTAGGGGGCCGGACAAACCCGAAGCAGAGCTCCGGGCTGGGTTCCACCAACACAGTTGCTGAGCAAGAGAAGCCAGTCACTCAGGAGATGAGGGATGCGTTTCGGGTGCCAGCAGTGTGGGGTGGGGAGGTGGGAGGCTCAAGCCTCAACCACCCAGCTCTCCCCCCCGCGAGATGGACACAGAGTTTTACGGGAAGAGGTGTGGGGATGGGTACGTGCGAAACAGGCAGGGAGCGTGACATGGGCGGGGCGGTGTCTGCTCAGCGCTCCAAAGGGGGCGTGTGGCGTGGGATCGTCCAGGCATTCTGCCTCTGTCAGGGCTTTTCGGGCCTGGTGATTGGAATGTTTCAGCCATTGCACAACACTGTCAGTGCCCCCAAGAAAGCGCGATAGGAAATGGCGGTGGGTTCAGAGGTCTTGTCTCTTTCTGGTTTTGGCTGTTGGCGTCTCCAGTGGAACTAGAGGGCTCGCCGATGTTTACCTGCATGGCAGGGACGGATGCCCAGCGACAGCTAGTTCTGGGCGGAAGGAACCGGGGCTCAGGAGCCGCAAACAGAGGTGGGGCCGCCCGCACACAGCGGGGTATGTGGACCAGCCAACCCCGGGAGAGGCCTGCCTCCCACCCGGGGCCCCGCCTCCCCTCCTCCTCCGGCTCTGGCCGGGCCCGC